TGGGGGGAATATCGGCAATAGTGACTTGTGTGTGTGGGACCCATTGTTGTGATTCCTCACAACAAATTGTCAAATACTAATAGGTTTCTTATAGATTCTTAGACTTTATATATATATATATAAACCATATATTTACACTAAGCAAGTGGAGATTAAATTGGTTGCGAATTTGACATTTCCGGGATTTGATTCACATAACAACTGAAAAGAAATAAAATACAGCTTAAATTACCAACAATTCAAGCTAATTCGGCGTTTGATGATGGTTTTACTAATCCAAATTTCAAGAAATGCAATACAAAACTTACATGCAATTGTAACCAAACAAGGAGGGAAGTGAATTAATTAGATGACTTACGGTGAGGCGGGGAGGGACCTTGAAATAACAGACGACGAGTCCGGGTTCGACTCGGTCGACTCGGATTCCCGCAACAGCGAAAGCGTCATAGAAGCTCTTTCCCGCGCCGGCTGCCTGTTCTGGAACCGCGAGTCCCTACACGGCCTCTGGCTTGTCCCGAGTCAGCCCCAGAAACCTCTTCGCCCTCCCCATATTAGTATTACCTTGTTCATTCGGATCCTTTTCTCACGAGTCACGACTCGCTCCGGCGTTGAAAACTTGGAATGTAAAGACCAAAGGCTGGCTTGAAAGAGTGCGAGAATTTATTTTTTCTATACTGTTGGTGAGCTGGTGTTCCCCTGCAATCCAATGATATCACATATCGCGAACAGTGAGCTGGTGTTCCCTGCAATCACATGATATCACATCTCCCGCTAAACATTGTTTAGTTTTTTATTCAAAATAATTCTTTAGATTTGCATAATTATTTATTTTGATTTTTGAGATTTAAAATTGATATAATTGGTCATGAGTTTGTTCATCATCAATTATTTCGATCATTCTTTGAAAAATCTCCATTAAATAAGGATAAAATTATAAAAATACCATCAATTTTTGTCAAATCATTTTGACATATTGTTTATTAAATTGAGGGTAATTTTGTCATTTTAATCTTTATTTAATATAGTTATTCACGGAATGATCAAAATGATTGATGATAGACAATCTCAATAACCACTTATATTGATTTCAAATCTTAAAAATCAAAATGATGAATTATGCAAATATCAATAACCATTTTTGCCTAAAAAATCTTTTGTTTAACAAAAATTAGTTAAATAAAAACAAAAACAAAAAACTTGAGGAATGCGGAATGTCCCCCTCCTCGGCCCCCGATCCCCACCTTGAATGGCGACTCGCTTCCTATCTACGACGACCACGAGGGCCTCAACTTCCTCGAGGAACCCACAAATCACAACACCGCCGCGCCACACCATTCAGTTCCAGACCACTACAACGACGATGACGACAATTACACCGATCTTGAGAACTTCTACGATGTCGAAGAGGACGCGTATAGGAAATGATGGCAGCCCCAAGACTCCTAGCTGGGTTGATGCCAATTCCGGTGATGGGGATGGTGGCCAAGTACACCAAGAATAAACATTGAAGAGATGATGGGAAAGGCAGGAAGGAGGCAAATTGTCTACCCTCCTGTTTGGGTGTGTTTCTCATCCCTCCTATTTGTGCGGTCATAGTTAAAACACGTCAATAATTTATATTCCTATTATTTTTTGTCTTATTATCTTTATAAAAAAATCAATATAAAATGTTGACGTGGCTTAATCGTGATCAAACAAAATAGAAGGGGATGAGAATGACACCCAAACAGGAGGACAGACAATCTTTCTCGATGCAGGAATGGGTGGGAAAAGGAGGAGTGGGTGGAGATGGGCGGAGGATTCAAGTTCCAGCAGGGTATATTCTGTGTTCTTTATTTAACTAATTTAAATTATATTCTGAAAATAAATATTAAGTGCCATTATTAAAGAAATGATGCAAATGACCATTAGATTGGGATAATTGTGAACTCGTCCATGTGCCATAGCCCATCATTGTTTTGCTTTTGAGGTCTCGTGAGAAATTCTTATGTTTGGCGACAGCAACAGCAGTGCTTGAATACTAACCAGATAAACATTCTCTAAGCAGTATGTTTGTTCTTTAAAAAATTATAGATGCACGTTAATATTGTCGAAAATGTAAGTTACATGTTTGTACATTTTGTTCAATATCAAATGCATATCAACAATATGTTCTATTCCATGGCAAAACAAATGTTAGAACATGTACGTAAGTGCATGACGCGCGTAAATGAAATCATTTCCATCTTGTTTATGACCTTTTTTTTTTTTTTTATGACAAGAATAACTATGAAATCTTTGAACGGACAAAAGAGTGAACTTTTTGAACTAAATACAAAAATGATACTTTTATCATATTTTTCATACCATATTTATATAATTTTTTTAATAGAGATGTGACCTCTAGGGATCCTTTCATATAAATGAATGTGGGAATGACTGATTAGAGTTTGGGAACGAGACCAGCATTTAAACGAAACAATGAATGTCGCCCTTCAACTATTATCTTTCTCGTTGATTTATTTTTGAAAATTACTATTGTTCCACAGTAACTTTCTTTTCTTCCTAAAATCCTTGTTATCTCTGGCTCATGCTGTAATTTGACATCAAAATGTTAGGTAATCTCCAACCGAAAGAGAGCCAAGGAGCCATGTTTAGCCCTATAGCTTAGCAATAAATTATTTTTTAATGAACAGTGAGATACCATAGTTTATACCATCTCCAACCGAGGAGACCAAAAGATCATAGGCCAAAACATAGCGTTTGACAAAAAACCCATATCCAACCCAAGGGGGCTATTTTTTAGCCCCCTCAGTAATTTATTATTTTAATTGAATTAATACGGTTAATTGAATTAAACTACCATATTAAAATAAGATTTTCAGACATATTTTGAGTGCCACTTGTCACTAAATTAATAAGCTTCCGGATTTCTTATTTTTATATAATGAAAATGATGTGAAAAATTGGTGAAGAATTGAAATAAAATGAGGTAATATAGTATGGAATAATGAAAATAATGTGAGAAATGACTTAGGTATTTATAGGAAAAAAAATTAGATTTTTTTTTTTTAAATTTCGTCTAAAAAAAAAAAGTCAAATCCAACAGTAACATGTCGTCAGCATGATGTTAGGTAGCAAGTGTTTGGGCTAGGCTATAGGGCTAGCTGGCTGGCTGGTTCTCCAATTTTTGGCCGGGTGGAGCCCACAAGCCTTTTGGCTTAGTCCTCGATTGGAGAAGGTTTTCGTGTCAAAACCGGCTATTTTCTAGCCTATGGCCCTTTGGCCGGTTCGGTTGGAGATGGCCTTAGAGGTCTCTTCGGGACATCCAATGATTAAGATTGGAACGATACAATGATCATCTGTGTGTTAACCAATCAGCTCTTAATCTCATGCTACTTCGATCTCTTTTTCTACCGTCAGAAGATGTTCAAAGTTCAAATTTCCTCCTAGTTGACTAAAGAGATTGGAAAATACCAAGCGAAATCGTAGCACATATTCATCAAGAAGAAGAGGATCGGAGTGGAAAGATTTGGCTTACATGAAGCTTGGCAGTTGACACATAAAAGATGGAAATGTCGACAGAAACATTCATAGCCCATAGGGAGACTTGGAATTGCACCATAAGCTAAGGAACCACCAACTATGTCAACGAGGTTTGCATTTGTACCATTTGCCAAATTTCCATCTCTATCCTGGAAACAAATTATTAAGAAGAACATTCAAAATCTCTCACATGAAACTAAATCTTTTTAAGATTCGTTTGGAAGTGCTTTTAAAAAGATTGAAAGCACTTTTGATGAAATTGATTTTGAATTCCGAAAGCAATTTAAGTGCTTTTGGAACAATCACTACATATGTAGCCCTTTAAGGGCGCGTTTGTTTGCCCTCACTAAGTTGGATTGGACTGGACTGGATTAGCTATTAGTCCAATACTATGTTTGTTCCATGCTGGGACTAACATTAATGAGACTAAAGGGGACTAGCCTGGACAAAACCCTTCACTAAGAGGTCTTAGCGAGACCCCCCAATAACCATGGAACTAGCTAAGACTATCTTCTCTTTCTTGTCCTCGTCATGCTCAACGACCACTCTCGACAGACTCCTCGTCATCTCCGGTCACCTAAATCAATCATTAACTTTCCGACTCTCTTTCAGATCCATTTCACAACCAACTTTCATACAAAATATACCAAATTGAAGCTGGGAGTGACAAGATTACGATTTTACCTGAATCGAGGCCAAAATATGATCGAATGTGGCTGGAAAATGGCCTGGAAGTCTCGGCCTGTTTGGGCTTCTTCAAATCCATGACAGATTCGAGCATTCAAAGCTAAGATCTCAGTCCAGGGATGGTGATGAATTTTCTGGCGGTGCTAACTTCATCCAATTTAACGAGGAAATGGTAGGAAAAAATGAAGAAAAAGATAAGATCATAATAAAATATTAATAATTTATATATTAAATAATATAACATTATAATTTGTTATTATCCAGCATCTTAGTCCAATACTGCACCAAACGCTTCACTAAGTTAGTCCAGTTTAGTCTAGTCTAAACCAGTCCAGCTTAGTCCTTGAAGCTAATCCAGTCCGAGATAGTCCAGCGCAACAAACGCCCCCTAAGTGTTTTCTCATGATCTACTTAGAATTTTAGTAAGAATTGGTTTCAAAAACATTTTCATCAAAAGTACTTTCAATCATATTAAAAGAACTTTTGATTTCTAGCTAAAAATTAAAAAACAAAATGTTAAAATATTATGCGAAGAGACTTCAATCTTACGAGTAGGCCCTTTATTTTTATTTTTTTATTTTTTTGAAAAAAGGACCAGCTGATGACGATGTCATGATATTCTACTCTTTTGAGGGTCGGGAAAACTTACATATGTATTTTAGCCTCTTCTAGCCACCATCACTGATTCACCATATCCAAGAATCAAACTCAGGACCAACCGTATGAAATATAGACCTGAAATTTGCTTTAATCACTTTGGACACCCCGTGGTGGTTCAGTCATATGAGTAGCCATAGGATAATGCTTTTCATGAAAGTAAAACTAGTTAGGCTTAGAGTCTACATCTGAAATTTCCTGAAGTACTATAAAAACCTTAAACAATCTACTAATTTAATCGATAAATAAAATTAAAAAAATCCAAGTTAATTAATAATTAAATTCAACAAATATTTAAATAACAAAAGCGAAACATATAGATTAGTTGAATGACGATAAGGCGGGGAGGGACCTTGAAAGTGCAAACGACGAGACCGGGGTCGACTCGGTCGACTCGGATACCTCTTACAGCGAAGAAATTGTAGAAGCTGGACTTTCCGATTTGGAGAGCAGGGATGGCGACTCACGACACGGTCTCTGACGCGTCCGAGTTCAGCCCCAGAGACCTCTTCGCCTTCTCCATCAGAACTTCCCTGAACCTATAACCTTCATCCGATTGATCAATAAAGAATAAACAACTCAGCACGACTTAACCGTTAAAATGTCAAGAGCAACGACCTAATTTAGTCTTGGTTTGATACTGAGATGATTCTGAAAAATATGACTATAAAAGCTTTTTTTTATTTGGTATACATTCAGCTTCAACTTTTTTTTTTTTCACAATTTTAGGTGAAAAAAATGCTAAAAATATAAAGGAATATTTTTTTCTCATATCACAGCAGAAGAATTTTTTTTCTTTCAAAGTACCGCAATACCTAACCAACTAGCTTTATTGTATTATTGGGCTTTTTATAAGGTTGCGAAACTATTTGTATTGGCTCTTTGGGCTTCTTTGGTGATTGACGGTTACACAAACATGTGATGTTATTAATTTTTCCATTATAATATAGATAAAGCATAATGAAATGATTGACAGTTAAGAGCATTTTTAATGAGATGTCAAATTTTAAACATAAAATTTAAATTGAAGCCTATGTGGCACTTTGATGTTATTTTTTTAGTTTTGATTTTCACTCGATATGTCAAATTAAATTATTATTTATCATGTTTTTTACTTTTTACAATGGTAATAAATATTTTTAGAACAAAAGAAAGAAATAAAAAGCTTCTATTAATCAATTAAAAATGGATTTGAAGTTGCTGTCAAGTTTGACAGCAACCACCTTTGTTGTTAATTCACGTCATGCCCCATACGAACCGACATTTCAGTTGAAAAACACTAATATTTTTTTTTTTTTACTATTACTACTGATGTGGACTTTTGACATCTCCTTTATAGATGTTCTAAAGGATGAGTTGTATAGTATTAATAAATGAATACAAGTCTATCTTCAGTAGTCTAGCCTACTAGAGTCCGATTTCTTTTCTTTATTTTTTGAACAAACAATATTATCTACACTATAAAGCAGTGAGTAGGCTTAGCCTCATAATAAGTTACAATAACATGGTTCAAATTTGGCGAGAATCAAACTTAAAATCTTTCACTTACAAATGAAGATGAATACCATTAAACTGTAGTACTAAGTGACCCGAGTCGACTTTTTAACAAACTTTCTTTGTTTCGATTTAAGTCAACTGTTCAATTACTTATAGTTAATCTTTCACCGCTCATTTCCCAAACTACAATCTTCATCGGAGTTCCCCGTTGTCATAATTTTATCTGTTGGACGCATGCATAAACATTCTTCAAGTAGAAAACTCACAGTAGTGTGTGATATGAAAATTTCATTCATAGAAGCAGCCTTTTACTTCCATGCACCATGTAGTGAAATTTAACACTTCCTCGCCTGCATAATTGAATTCTACATAAGAATTCCTATAACTTTTCGAAATGAACGAAGCAGATAGAAGAATAACAGCCGCGCTAACTACTAATCGATCTTAATCGGCCTTAATTTCTTACATATAAATCATATCTTGTGTGTATTACAAGAGGGAAGAATATGGGCCAATAATCAATTTGGTTACGTCCTTCTAACATTCTGATTATTTTAAAAAATAGTTACAAGAAGAAACCAACCATAAATGGATAGTGCTCTTCACGCATACCGTTTATACTTGTATATGTGGAAAGGACTCAGAGTTTGCTGGAAGATGAACGAAACAACGAATGTCGACCTTCAGCAATAATCTCCCCAGATGCTTTGTTTCTTAGAAGTACATAGGTTCCAGAATAACGTCCTCTTTGTCCTAACCGTTTTGAGGTGATCTCTAACTCATCCTGCAATTTGAGAGATCGAAAGGGATCAGATGCTATAGCTCTCTTCGAACAATCTGATAAAATCAAACGATACAGAGAAAAGATGTTCAAGCAAGAATTATCCAAACGAGAATCATATAACACCAGCACACGACGAGTAGGAAAAATCCCAATATTAGAAACATAAGAACATAGCCAAATGTGCATGGAAATGATCCTAAAAGATTGTTTAGAAATGATAATCATTCTTTCCTTTTGACAAAAAAAACTCACGGTAGATCAAACTCATATTCATGAGAGTTAAACCTATGACCTTGAGAAAAATAGAGAGACACAACTATCCATTACAGTAACCAAATTCCGAAAATCAAAATACGAAGGGAAATAATTCCAATCCATCGAAACCAGACCTATAATGGGTTTTCCAGCACACAAGTTCATACATTTGCAAGATGCTAGATTGAATGTGGACATGTATGGCCAATTCAGAGGTTGCCATGGAGAACATAAATCTGAAACAAAAAAAAGGGGATTTAAGACTTAGTGAAAGCTTTGCTTACATTAAGCTTTGCATTTGCCATGTACGAGATGGACATATCCACTGAAACGTTCATAGGGATATGTGGAACAAAAACAGTAGAGGCACCAACCATATCAACAAGGGTTGCAATTGCACCATTAGCCAGATTTCCAGCTCTATCCTGCAAACAATAGAAACACATTTCCAAAATTACTCACAAGCAACTCGCGTTTTCAATAAATATCACCAATACTAATTGCATCAAATCTCCCACTAAAAAAATTTGAGCTGTTAGGAAAAGAATCAAAGGTTTCTATATCAATCAAATCCACCTGTGAATTTGACAATTCAAGATAAAAGCTTGATTCTTAAATACTCAAGATCCTCCACTCGAGAGTCTGAATCCCACATCGTGCAAGGGAACCTTGGCTAATAGTTTAAAATCAATGGGACACTCCCTCCTATTGCCAATTGGTAATGCCTCACATTCCAAAACTTCCTCTATCCTACGAAGACTTAGAAAGAGACTATAAGAAAATATATGGCGTACTTGAGCTAAAGGTAGACTTGGGGCAAAACAGAGCGCAGTTCTAAGATTAATACCGCCAACCTGACATAGTGGGATTAAGGCCCTGTCATTGTTGTAAAGCTACAAGTTCAATTGGAAGTTATTGACCCTAATTTTGTATATTTTTTCGCTACAAAACCTAATTTTACTTTTTGTGCTCTTAATTAATCCAAATTACTGATGGATTCAAATCCTAACCTAGCATAGATTAGATATTAGGATTTTAATAAATAAAAACGGAAGCTAATTCCAGAAATTATACGAGGAAAAGTGGGTGAGCGGTGGGAAGACTCACGGTGAGGCGGGGAGGGACTTTGAAAGTGCAGACGACGAATCCGGGTTGGACTCGGTCGACTCGGATGCCTGACTCAACGAAATGATCGTATATACTCCTGTCGCTTGGAAAAACGAGTCGCGACACGGCCTCTGACTCGTCCTGCGTCACCTCGAGATACTTCTTTGCATCCTCCAATTTCGGAGCCAAACTCTCTTCTCTCATCTCTCTGGAAGACTGGAACAACGAAGAAGAACGTTGAAAACCCCACAAATGTCCGAACTACGGGCAGGGAACCAAAGTGCTTCCGCGTAATTGAACAAAACCGATTCTGCAGGGGTAAATTTAAGTTTTACTTATTCATCTTTTTAAATTCACTAGTCATGCTCTCACGCGCAAAGAAAATATTTTTTGAATCATAATATGTTACGCGTAACTTATACGTTTTAAATATATTTATATGCGTAATTTAATTAAAGAAAAGTTAAATATTTGAAGTAAATGAATAATGTTAGATCATGCTAAAAAAAACCCTCATAAACCATTTAAAGCAGCTGAATTCATATAATAAAATCGATCTGTATCAAATTTACATTACGAATAGAGAAAATAATATTTAATAAACAACTGGTTGAATCACATTATTACTAGCTCATTGTGAGGCTAAGCCGACCCCCTCCCCTTTAGTGTTATTAATATCCTTTGTTTAAAAAAAATTTATTTGACAACTAAATTAATTACATTATTATCCGTGTGCGAAATAACTTTTTTATAACCGACATTACACGTCTCTTAAGATGTTTTGAACATGTTTAAAAGTAGAGAAAATAATATTGAATGAACAGCTGATTGAATCACATTATTACTAACCTATTTTGAGATACTAATTAAAATAAAAGTACAAAAATAGTAATTATTAAAAGAAAAAAACACTGTTTAAATGACAAAAATACCCCTGCCACATTTGATGCCTTATTTTGGGTTGCTTTTGAAGATTTTGTTTGGGGGCATTTTTGTCCAAATACTTTTGTTGAATCTTGTAACACCAAAAAAATACTATTCACCTTTAGTGTTGGATTTATATAGATTCGTTTTGATAGTCGAAATTTGAAGAAGGTGTATGATATGTAAAAATAGGTCTGTCCACCACCAAATTTAAAGGTGCAAAGGGTAATGAGATCAGAGTTTATTAAGGTGATACAAAGTATCAAATTCGCAGAGTTTTTAAATTGTTAGATATTTAGTTAAAAATACAAAAATTAATATCTAATGGTTAAAAACGTAGAGTATCGTATTGTTAGCCAGCACCTAGGACAGGATTATTTGTTTCTGTTGGAAGAGGAAGTAGCATCTAGCCTTCCAAATATGCCAACAAGAGAAAGCAAAAAAAAGTCAGTATCCTCTCCAGGTCGGCCTTTAAGTTTTCGTTGGACCTGATAATTGCAAGAAGCCAATTCAACCATGTTGTAATCTCATTCTGGTTTACCTTGTAGTTTAAAACTCCACCAAACCATATAGTTTCCACCCACAGGTAGAGGAGAAACAGGTGCTCAATCGATTCCTCCTGAGAGTTGCATAGGGGGCATAAAGGTGAAGAGGCAGATTTTCTTCTATAGAGCCTAGAGAGCTACCATTGTGGCCAGGGCATTATGCAGGGACTTCCACATAAAGCACTGGATTTTTTGAAGGGTTTTAAGTTTCCACACCGACTTCCAAAGCGAATCCAAAATAGATATAGACGATGACGATTTGAGGTTGATCCTTGGAATCACTCGAGAATGCGCCCAGTGGTAGCCCGACTTTATTGAATAGAGCCTTCTTTTAACTAAAAATTATGTAATAACTTTATTCGATGATTAAGACAAAGCCTAACCTAAATCAGTCCAGTAAACAGGCCTAACCAAAAGTACCTAATGAATTTCTTCTTCCGTTGTTAATTTTCGGTTTGTTAGTCTTCCATTTTTTCTACTGGCCATCATCCACATAAAAGAATCTGGATCCTCTTTGTGAGGATCCCAGAGATCCGTGAATTGTATCCGTTCATCAAACATTATGCGATCAAAAATAATTTTAAATATTTTTATTTAAAATTAAACATAAACAGTACTTGATAAAAACTGACCATACAATATACGATGAACGGATATGATTCACGGATCTCTAGGATCCTCACCAAAAGGATCCGGAGAGTATCCTGTTGGCACATAAAAAGGCCAAAAGACAACCCCACTCAAATTAGGGACTAAAACTTCGACATATCAAAACGCACCAATTGCGTCCAGCATAAACTGAAAACTGTTTGGTTGCCAACTCAACATTCCGGAAATTCGATTCACATAACAACTAAAAAGAATTAAAATACAGCTTAAATTACCAACATTTCGAGCCTAATTTGGCTTTTGATGATGATTTTAAATTTCAAGAAATGGCAATACAAAACTTACTTGCAAATGCAACAAAACGAGGAGGGAAGTGAACTAATTAGATGACTTACGGTGAGGCGGGGAGGGACCTTGAAAGAACAGATGGCGAGTCCGGGTTCGACTCGGATTCCCGCAACAGCGAAAGCGTCGTAGAATGTTATGAACTGAGGATTGTGATTATCTTAATCACAATTAAGAGTCAAGTTAGTTGTAATTGAGGGTTTTACTTGTTATTAGGGAAATTTGTTAGAAATGTCAGCTGGCGGTAGTCACACTAGTGTATAAGAGCACTTGCTCTTTGGTTGGTAATCAGGCCATAGCGAGTTGTGACTTGTGACCCAACCTGTTAAGGATCCGTTAAGATAACGGGTGTGACACGACACGACTCATTAAGATAACAAATGTTACTTGAAAATGATACGAACACGACAGACACAACCCGTTTACCAAGCCTAGTTCAATCTTATGAGGAGGTTTTTTTTTTTTTTTTAAAAAAAAAAAAGGGGACTAGGTGGTGGCGAAGTTAGGGCTGTATTCGGTTTTTTACCAAAATCGAAATTTCGGTTTGGTTCATTTTTTTTCCTTTTTTTTTTGTTCGGTTTGGTTAAATTTTGGTTTTTTTTTTAATGAAAAAAAATTGAAATCTGAAAATTATTTTTAAAAATCTAAATATTCACAAGCAACGGTTGGGGGGGAGTTGAGAGTTCTAAAAGTTATCTGCATATATACGAATATATGTGTGTGTATATGCTTGTATGGCGCTTTATTGATTTGCAGAGGTGTATGCAATAGCACAAGGTGGAGATCTCTGCTTTGCAAATGCCTATTGCCACATTGCAGAAACTCTGGAAAACAATGGGATGGTTGGTTGTTGACAACAAAAAAAAAAATCATGACATTGGTTGTTGGTTTAAAGGATGATTCTAGCTGGAGACCTAGTCCAAAAAGCCAAGCTAAGACAGAACATATTTTGGTCTAAAATTAAGTTGATGATTGACTTGAATTGGGAATAGAAAATAAATACCTAACTTAAATAAACAAATAAAATTAATATATATTTAAATCGGTTTGGTTCGGTTCGTTCGTTTTTCAAACCATCAAAACCGAAACCGAACCAAAAGATTTCGGTTTCGGTTTTTTTCAATTTCGGTTTGGTTTTTTTCGGTTTTCGGTTTTTTGAACCCATCCCTAGGTGAAGTCATGATAGTCTACTCGTTGGGCTTTTTTGGTCATTTACAGTTACACAGACATATTATTAATTTTTGCATTATAATATAAATAAAGCACAATAAAACGATTGATAGTTTAGAGCATCTTTAAAAGAGATGTCAAATTTTAAACATAAAATTTAAACTGATAGCCTGTGTGGCACTTTGATTTTTTTTAGTTTTGATTTCCACTCGGTATGTTAAATTAAATTATTATTTGTTATTTTATTTACTTTTCACAATGATATAAAAAAAATTTAGAACAAAATAAAAAAAAATAAAAAGCATTTATTAATCAATTAAAATTGAATTTCAAGTTGTTGTCAAATTTGACAGCAGCCATCTTTGCTGTCAATCCACGTCATGCCTCATAAAAAGTTGACATTTCAATTGAAAAACACTAATGTTATTTTTTTACTGTTAGTACTGATGTGGACTTTTGGCATCTCATTTAGAGATGCTCTAAAGGATGAGTTGTATAGTATTAATAAATGAATACAGGTTTATCTTCAGTAGTCTAGCCTACTAGAGTCCAATTTCTTTTTCTTTTCTTTTTTGAACAAACATTATTATCTACACTAAGAGAAAGAAGTTAGGTCTAACCTTATAATAAGTTAGCAATAATATGGTTCAAATTTGGCAAGAATCGAACTTAAAATCTTTCACTTACAAATGAAGAAGAATACCATTAAACTGTATTACTAAATGATCAGACTCCGACTTGTTAACAAACTTTCTTTGTTTCGATTTAAGTTAACTGTTCAATTACTTATAGTCAATCTTTCATTTCCCAAACTACAATCTTCATCGGAGTTCCCCGTTGTCATAATTTATCCGCTGGACGCATACATAAACATTCTTACAGTAGAAAACTCACGGTAGTGTGTGATATGAAAATTTGATTCACAGAAGCAGCCTTTTACTACCATGCACCATGGAGTGAAATTTAACACTTGCTAGCCTGCATAATTGAATTCTACATAAGAATTCCAATTAACTTTTCGAAATGAACGAAGCAGACGGAAGAATAACATCCGCGGAACTACTAATCGATCTTAATCGGTATTAGGCCTGGGTTGGTACTGAGGTGATTCTAAAAAAAACTGGTATAAAAAAAAAATGGGAACTATTTTTGTGTTTGGTAAACATTCAGCTTCAGCTTTTTTTTTCACAGTTTTTGATGAAAAAAAGCCAAAAACAAGAAGCTGCAAAACCAAGTTTTGAAAAACCTACTTTTTTTCACATCTGTTTTACATAAAAGTTTTTCAAACACTATAATATTGTTTTTTTTTTTTCAAAAGAACTTTTACAAAAAAGTTTACCAAACACTCTGCTGCTTTATTTTACAGCTACTTATTCTCAGAGCACAGCAGAATCAGTTTTTTTTTCAAAGCACAACAATACCAAACTAGCCCTTAATATCTTACATGTCAATCGTATCTTGTGTGTATTACAAGAGGAAAGAACATGGGCTAATGATCAATTTGGTTACGTCCTTCTAACATTCTGATTACTTAAAAAAATAATAAGAAGAAGAAACCAACCCTAAATGGATAGTGCTCTCCAGTCTTCACGCATACCGTTTATGCTAGTTTTTTTTTTTTTTTTTGGACAAACTAAGTTACTTTTCCATTAAACAAAAAGACTAATACAAGGAAAAGAGAGCCCAAAAGGCATCCCAGAACCAAAATACCAGCCCATCAAGAAAAAGTAAATACAACACAAAGCCCAAAAGGCATAACTGAAAAACAACAGAAACACTAAAACCAAACAGAGCAACAGGATCAACAGAAAATGGGGGTGAGCGAGCCACCAGCGCAGTGAGCGCTCCCATAATCCTACCAAATAGTGCAAAAAGCACTTTTAACAGCAACCCAAAACCCAAGCTCGTCACCGAGGAGAAGCACCAGGGGCCTGGTAGCAGTGGTTGGTAGTTGTGGACACACGATGGAAGGAAGCATCGTTACAAGAGAGGTGTCTAAAGGTTCCGATCTGAGACAAGCTCAGGAATGGAGACAAAGCTCAAAGAAAGCCAAAAGGAAAACAGAAATAAAGCACCGCAGGAGAAAACCAGAGGAGGGAAAGCTTGACGGGGGAAGGGGGAGGACTTGGGGGTGTGGGTGACGGGTTGGGTTGCGTCACGAGGGGAAAGGGCGGAGGGGGAAGGAGGAGGACTTGAGGGCGTGGGTAATGGGCTAGAGAGTAGAAAGAAGAGGGGTAGCAGCAAGAGAAAGCCGGCCGACTCCAACCACAGGAAGGAGTCGGGGCTGGGATTTTTTTTTTGCAGGGGGGAGGAGTTCCCACACCGTTTATACTTGTATATGTGGAAAGGATTCAGAGTTTGCTGGTAGAAAATGGACGAAACAACGAATGTCGACCTTCAGCAATAATCTCCCCAGATGCTTTGTTTCTTAGAAGTACATGGGTTCCAGAGTAACGACCTCTTTGTCCTAACTGTTTTGAGGTGATCTCTAACTCATCCTGCAATTTGAGAGATAAAAATTGATCAGATGCTATAGCTCTTCGAAAAATCTGATAAAATCAGAATGATACAGAGAAAAGATGTTCAAGCAAGAAATATCCAAACAGGAATCATATAACACCAGCACACGACGAGTAAGAAAAACCCCAATATTAGAACCATAAGAACATAGCCAAATGTGCATGGAAATGATCCTAAAAGATTGTTTAGAAATGATAATCATTCTTTCCCCTTGACAAAAAATACTCAAGGCGGATCAAACTCATATTCATGAGAGTTAAACCTAAGACCTTGAGAAAAGTTGAGAGAGACAACTATCCATTACAGTAACCAAATTCTGAAAATCAAAATATGAAGGGAAATCATTCCGATCCATTGAAACCAGACCTATAATAGGTTTTCCAGCACATAAGTTCATACATTTGCAAACTGTTAGATTGTACGTGGACATGTATGGCCAATTCAGAGGTTGCTATGGACAACATATATCCGAAACAAAAAATGGGGATTTATGACTTAGTGAAAGCTTTGCTTACATTAAGCTTCGCCTTTGCCATGTACGAGATGGACATGTCCACTGAAACGGTCATAGGGATATGTGGAACAAAAACAGTAGAGGCACCAACTACATCAACAAGGGTTGCAATTGCACCATTAGCCAGATTTCCAGCTCTATCCTGCAAACAATGGAAACACAGTTCCAAACTTACTCACAAGCAACTCGCGTTTTCAATAAATGTCACCAATACTAATTGCATCAAATTTCCCGCTAAAAAAATTTGAGCTGTTAGGAGAAGAATCAATCGTTTCTATATCAATCAAATCCACCTGTCAATTTGATAATTCAAGATAAAAGCTTGGTTTTTAAATACTCAAGATCCTCCTCTCGAGAGTATGAATCCCCATCGTGCAAGGGAACCTTGGCTAATAGTTTAAAATCAATGGGACACTCCCTCCTATTGCCATTTGGTAATGCCTCACATTCCAATACTTCCTCTATCGAAGACTTGGAAAGAGACTATAAGAAAATATATGACGTACTTGAGCTAAAGGTAGACTTGGGGCAAAACAGAGCGCAGTTCTAAGATTAATACCGCCCACCCGACATAGTGGGATTAAGGCTTTGTTGTTGTTGTAAAGCTACAAGCTCAATTGGAAGTTATTGACCCTAATTTTATTTATATTTTCGCTGCAAAACCTAAATTTATTTTTTGTACTCTTAATTAATCCAAATTACTGGTGGATTCAAACCCTAACCAAGCTTAGATTAGTAATTAGCATTTTAATAAATAAAAAACGGAAGCTAATTCCAGAAATTATACGAGGAAAAGTAGGTGAGCGGTGGGAAGACTCACAGTGAGGCGGGGAGGGACTTTGAAAGTGCAGACGATGAATCCGGGTTGGACTCGGTCGACTCGGATGCCTGACTCAACGAAATGATCGTATATACTCCTGTCGCTTGGAAAAACGAGTCGCGACACGGCCTCTGACTCGTCCTGCGTCACCTCTAGATACTTCTTTGCATCCTCCATTATTGGAGCCAAACTCTCTCCTCTCATCTCTTTGGAAGACTGGAACAACGAATAAGAACCTTGAAAACCCCAAAAATGTCCACATTGAAGGCTGCATAATTTCGGAAAGCCGATTTTGTTGGGGTAAATTTAAGGTTAGAACGGTTCACACACCCTTTTTACATCCGTATTTTATTGTTAATTTTTATTTATGGATGATTTTAAATTCATTTGATTCGACGGTTGGAAATTAAAAAATGTGTATGATATGTAAAAATAGGCCTATCCACCACCAAATTTAAATGTGCAAAGGGTAATGAGATTAGAGTTTATTAAGGTGATATTGGTATCGGATTCGTGGAGTTTTTTAACCGTTAAATATTTAGTCAAAAATAAAAATCAATATCTAACGACTAAAAAGTGCAGAGTATAGTATTGTTTGGAGTACCATAAATTTTTGAATTAGATCCTCTCTTGAGCACAAGCTCAGGATCCTGCTGACCAGTTCACGTGAGCCGTTGGATTTTGATCTTACAGTTACAATTATTATAACTTTTAGAAGGACTTTCTGTTTGTAGCCATTAGATCAAAATCCAACAACTCACGTGTGTTGATCAGGAAGATCCTGAACTTGTGCTCATGAGAGGATCCAATTCCATAAATATTTTTATAAGATCATGCATCGAAGCCTATTCAACCCTTTTTTTAATAAAATAATTTATTAACACTAACGGTTAACCAAAATATATGATAATTTAATATCAAACTCGTATAATTTCTATCTAGGACCACAACCACGAGAGTCGATGATTGGGCATTTGAGCCATTCAAGTTAGCCCAACTGGTAAGAGATGGTCGAGTTTTAATTTGGATTATGATACTGAAGGTTTCCATCCTTCCAATGTAAACAAGAAAAAGGAAACATTGTGTTTTGAAGTATATTACAAAGTTTACAAGATTGCTCTCTTTGATTGCTTTGGTCAACATTAGATGCTTCGATCTTTCCAATACCATATTGCGGTATAACGTGAAATGAATGAGTGAGATTTAAAGAAACAGATCAGTAACGCTATTGTGGCCACGCGACTCACGCCAGTTAATTAGGATGTAAGCTAACCTCCACTATCTATTTTGAAAAGAAAAGAAAATTAGCATCCAATAACATAGGAAGCAGAAATTTGGACATACTGAAAACCATGTCACGGAAAATCTCACCCCTAAAATTACAACGAGAAAAGAAAGCCAGACTTCGAAGGAAAATGCAAAACCGGCGACGGGAGTGAAGATTCAGGTTATGTTTGGTTGTGTACGAACGAATCAATGAAAAAGATAAAGCGAAAAACAAGAACAATAGCAGTGAAAAATAGTCCACCCAATTTGAGTTAAAACACAATTCTCAATCCTTATTCAATGAAAAACACTTACAAGAAAGCGAATCTACAAAAAGATTCAACCTACGCCCCCAAAGGGCTCCATCCATTCCAGTTATATACATACTGAAGTAAAAAAGGACTCAGAGTTTGCTAGCATGTCTACCAAACAACGAATGCCGACCTTCAGCAATAACCTCACCAGTTGCTTTGTTTCTCAGAAGCACTATTGTTCCTGAATAACCCCCTCTTTGTCCTAACACCCTTGACGTGATCTCTAACTCGTCCTGTTATTTGACATCATGAGAGAGCAGACATTATAGCTAGTAAATATCCGAATGCACATCGCATACCAAACACACCTGACAAGTTAGGGTAAAGTCCACCACTGGAAACACAAAATAGTAGCAAAGTTCTCAAACTAGTCATAATACAAAACAGTATCGGGATTCGAAAAGCAGTTTAACATGAAATAGTGGCAAAATTTCAAAGGAAATCCTACTTCCCAAGCTATACACATGGGAAACGACCCCCTCGTACTTTTGAGAACTGATCATCATTATAGAAGCCAGATTTGCAAATACAACGTGGAAAAGAAAAAAAATATCTGACAAATCGAAACAGGCTTAAGGGGCAAAGTTAGTTGTATACTGATAAAGTGATAAGAAAACATGCTGCTGTGAGATTTTGGGGCATATAACTTCAAACGTTGTCGAAACTAGTGACATTCAAGAAAGCCTGTCGAATTGAACACCAGCACTATTGACAAGTGCAAATCGTATACCGCACACATGACAAGAACGGTAAAACCAACCCAATGGAACCACAAAATAGTAACAGAAACCCAAATTAGCCCTACTTACTTCCCATAATACTTTTGAAAATTGATCATCATTGTAGTAGCCAAACTCTGAAATTAAAACCAGGAAACCAAATATTTCTGGCAAATTGAAACCAGGTTTAAATTGGCAATGTTGGTCTTATATACAAAACAAGCTGACAACATTTGGTGACATTCAGTTCAAGACAGGCATGCTAAACTGAACACATACATCCAGATACGACGAATCGAAACGCAGCTAACAATGCATAAATGTCAAGGGGAAACCGGGATATTCGAGTGAAAAGCTTTGCTTACATCAAGCTTGGGACTGGACATAAACGAGATGGACATGTCCACTGAAACATTCATAGGAAGACCCTCAACATGAACAACGGCGCCACCCACTTCATCGACCAGGTTTGCAATTGCACCATTAGCCAACCTTCCACTTCTATCCTACAAACAAAATTCCAAAGTTGCAAACTTTAAGCCAAACCAATTTTGGATCACAGGCTCACTGCTCAAATTAGCTAAATTTCAAGTTAAATCAACTAAAATTCAATATAAATCAGCTAAATTTCAGGTTAAATTAGCTAGCTACAAGTAAAATTAGTTCAATTTTAAGCTAAATTAGCGGAATTTTATGCTACTAACAGTACCAATCAGTAAAAGAAGTTAATTTCGATTAAAATTATGGAAAATTTGACTTGTGATCGAACGAGTGAGGGGTTCTGTGGCTTACGGTGAGGCGGGGAGGGACCTTGAAAGAACAGACGACGAGTCCGGGTTCGACTCGGTCGACTCGGATGCCGCGAAGAGCGTAATACTCGTAGAAGCTCGGCCCGGCGCCGGCTTGGTGAGGTGGAACGGTGAGTCGTGACGCGGCCTCTGACTCGTCGTGGGTCAGGTCCAAGGATTTCTTCGCCTTCTCCATGCTGGCTTTTGCAGCGCCTTGATTCGGATCCTTCTCTGCAGACGTTGAGGTCAAAATAACGGCCTGGGTTGGACTGGGCCTATTCGTTTCTAAAGTTGGGTTATTTTTAAGCCCACGTAAGCTTATGATAGGGGAGCTTTATACAGTGGAACACAACTTCGCTGCTAAATTTTGGAAAAGAATTCTCGTTGGATCATTTTTTTAGGAATTCCATGATTGTGACTGTTCATCGTACATCGTGCGGTTAGAAATCATTTCAAAATGTAAATTTTAAAATTAAATATAAATAGTACCTAAGGAAAACTGACCGTACGATATACAATGAATGGTCACGATTACGGGATTCCTAGGATTCCTAGAAAAAGGATTCCCTAAATTTTAAACATAAATTAAACATTTGTCCATCTGTAATTGATTAAAAGCATGAAATGTTGCTAAATTTGTAGTAGCCAATACACAACGTGGGGTTTTTTAGGGCAACTTAAATCAGACGGTGAAATGTACAGTACGAGCGGATCAAAAGTAATCCTCCATGCAACCTCATATTAATATCGTTATATTGACATCTTAATGCTAAATAATATAAAAAACAACTATCAAATATCAATGATATATTAACAATACAAACTTACGTCAGAATGCGTATTTCTTACTAAAAAAAATTCAGTTTAAATTAACAACATTGTATTTCACAATTTCACTTAGTAACATAGTAAGATCTCAAGCAACATTGAGGAAATATAATCTTAATATATGTAAAGTCACCCAACGAAAGAGGAAAAATAATCTTAATATATATAAAGTATACCTTCCAATTTTATATCGATTTGTTAAATTTAATTGGCATCTTTTGTCTCTCAGCTTTCTCATAAAATATACAATGGTCATACACTTGTTACAATTTGATATAGTAAAATGAGATCTGTGCGTGCACGTGCGTGTCTGAGAAGTTGTGCAGTACATGCCATGCATACAAGGAGATCGAGCATGCTTGAAGTGGCCTCGGGTGATGATATTTCTATGGACATCTTTTTTGGAAGGTGATCGAAATGTAAAAAGACAAGCATCGAGCAAGTATTTCGAGAATTAATATATTAATAAATCAAAGATTCTAGGTCTCTTATTTTCGACTTCAAATCTTCTACTCCGAAAACTCCCTGTGACCAGGAGCATTTTTGCCATCATTATGAATTATAGTGTATGCTCGTAATACACCTCATTATCTGCCACATGTTTTTTTGCCTAACTTTGGTAAATATTTTTCAAAATTGAAAAATGAACATTTAATATGAAAGCTAATCAGTCACTTAATACTACAATTTAGTAATATTCATCTTCACTTGTAAATAAGATGTCTTAGGTTCAATTCTCGTCAAAAGAGAATTTGAATCACATTATTACTAGCCCATTGTAAGGCTAAAGCCACTCTCTTTCCCCTCCCTCTCAGTGTTGATAATATTGTTTGTTAAAAGAGAATTATGAAAGTTAATTAGGATTAACTGAAAAGAACCAAAAAAAAAAAAAGGGTTAATCAAGGTTAAGTGAAAAGACACAAAGCAAATGATGAAATGTATGATAAAAATACATCATAGTTTATAGGGAAGTGCAAAAATATTTCCATTTGTGACATCTTCCTGGGAAGAGATCCCCTCCGGATCTCTCCCATAAAATCCTACTAATTAATTAATTTTGACTCTTGAAATTTGATCTAACTACTATAAACAGGTGGCCTCTATAATAATAATTTTAACCCTTGAATCAAATTTAAAAAATCTAGATTAATTAATTGGTGGACTTTGGTGGGAGATATCCGGATCAGATCTCTTCAAAAATTATAATAATTTTAACTCTTGAATCTAGATTAATTGATTGGTGGACTTTGGTGGGAGATATCCGGATCAGATCTCTTCAAAAATTATAATAATTTTAACCCTTGAATCAAATTTAAAAAATCTAGATTAATTGATTAGTGGACTTTGGTGGGAGATATCCGGATCAGATCTCTTCCCATATTCCTCTATAACCTACCTCATTGAATGACACGTAAAACATTTTGCGTGCAGAGGATTTGAACTCCTTATTTCTTACCACCACACATTGGTTTGGGAATGCTACATAAGTTGTGGATTTCGATGTCAATGGTGGTGTCCGTAGTGCAGTTGACCTACAAATTTTGTGCACGTCCGCAACGCAAGGATGTGGTTGGATTTTGCATTTGTTTACGTTCACAAACCCAGAATCCAAGAAAAGTGTGCGACTAATGCATTGGGCTTTCTGTGGGCCGGAAAGCTGTAAGTTTCCTTCTTCACACTGACTGATATTTGCTTGCTCGCCCTTCTGCTGCAAGCAAAGTTCTGAAGACTCATCAAGAAGTTTCAACAAGATAATCATGCACTAGCAAACGTTTTAACTTCTGCACAAATTCATTTGTTATATACCAAATAATTTGATGTATTATTGTTCGATCCAATCCAACAAAAAAAAAATATATGAATCTGAGATTACCGAAAAGAGAAATAATTTTCGCAGTATTATTTTCTACTCCTACGCTTCTTTTATTTTTATCCGTTGATTATTTAATTCAAAAACTATAAAGAAATGAGTGCACGAGAACATAAAAAGAGGATGCGATGGAATAAGTTTTCACACATCATTGTTCTTAATAGACAACTTATATTTGAAGTAAAAAGTTATTAAGATAATAAGACGACCTAAATCTTGTTTAGTGAACAAGCATTGTAACTGCTCAGTGCTAACTTATATTTCAGCTTCTGTTGACTATTCTAATAATTTAGATCGAGAGGAACATCAGGCTCAGTTCTTCACCCGTCTACATAATTGAGATAAGTTAATGCATGTACTAACTAAAATATGTCGATGTGTGAATGTAATTGGGATGTCAACATTTCTTGATCCGCGTTTCAAACGTCATATTTTGGATTCGATTTCTGACACTGATGAATCACACTATGATGATTAAGGATAAACTGAAATTCCTATATGAGTTTTTCAATCCCAAAAGATAAATTGCCGTGACAAAACAACCTTCGAATCCTTTTAAAAAATAAAAATAAACAGGCCTTACAACATAAATAACGTTTTATTATATGCATGCTGCTAAAATTGCCATAAATTCCTATACGCATAGGATTCTTCTTCCTCTGTGACCCCTGCATCTCCATGCTAATTGCTTAGAAAAAAAATAAATAAATAAAAAAAAAAATTCATGATACCATAAAATCCCAAAAAGGAGGTTTTTCCGGGGTTTCCATTTTTTTTTCCAATTTCCCATTCCTTTCTCAACTTCGCCGCCCCTCTCTCACTGACCCACAACTTCCTTCTTCTGCCATGCACGCACTCTCAACTACCACCGCCTCCGCCCTCCTCCTCCAACTCTAAAAGAGCAATGAAACCCCAGACTCGCCGTCTATCCACCTGTCACCGTCACCCTACCAAACCCATCACCGGATTCTGCGCCCCCTGCCTAACCGAACGCCTCGCCGGCCTCGACTCCGCCGCCGCCACCGCTCACCATGAACCCCCGACCCAGAACCCCCATTCCGGGTCTGAGCTCCGGAGAAGCAAGTCGTGTTCCGGAACGAGAACCGAATCGTCGTCGGACAACGCACTTGACCCGACCCGGCGCAAGTCCTGCGATGTAAGGGCCCGGAACACTCTGTCCGAGCTCTTCAACATCGACGACGACCGCAAGGGAGTGCCGAGAAAGTTCGATGTCGAAGTGAGAGATGAGGAGAAGAACGAAGGTGGAGACGAAGGTAATGTTTTGGATTTGGATGCGGAGTTCAAGACGATGAAGGAGTTGATAGATCTGGAATGGGAGAAGAAGAAGGGTGCGGGTAGGGATTTGAAGGACATTGCAGGGACATTTTGGGGAACGACGTCGGTTTTGTGCGGAAAGGTGAGGCAATGGCGGCGGAAGCAGAAGATGAAGAAGGTTGAGAATGAGGGTTTCGTGGCGGAGAAGCGGCGGGAGACCCAGTCGGAGGTTGGAGAGTACGCATTGGGGAGAAGATCGTGCGATACTGATCCGGATCCGGGTCGGATGTCAATGGACGAGCCTCGGGCTTCTTGGGACGGGTATTTGGGTCCGAGAGCCGCCCACCCGAGGCTGACCCGGATGGTTTCGGTTGTGGAAGAAAACTGGGAGCGGAGTCCAGGCGGGTCAGCTCAGACCAAAGACTATTACAATTCGCAGCGGCGGCGGAGCTTCGAACGGCCGAGTTTCGATCGATCCTTGGCGGCGGAGGTTGATGAGCTGAAGTTGGGATCAAATGCCAGAGTCTCCCCGGCCACTTCAGAGTTGTTCTATGGGGCCAAGCTGCTGATTACAGAGAAGGAATTGATGAGTTCGAATTCGAAGTTGAAACCTGTTGAAGATGATGAGCGCGCGGAAGAGAGCCGCGGCGGCGTTGGGATTGGCGGTGAACCTGTTTGTAAAAATGCAGCTTCGGAATCAACCAATGGGGTTGATGCTGACCACCAAAAGCTGAATAGGCGGCACAAGAAGTGGAGTTTTTGGGGTTTGATGCAGTGGAGAAGCGAGAAGAAATGCGTGGATGAAGAATCCACGGATTCTTGGCAAAAGCTGAGGAGGGTTGCCAATGGAGAAGAAGCCAACGCGTCCGTGAGTCAGAAGCTGATTCGGAGTTACAGCGTCAGCTGCCAGAACCAGTGCAAAATGGTTGGCTTGTTAAGCAATGTGCATGGTCTTGGGGCGGAAAACAAATGTAATGAAGTGAAGACTCTGCAGAGGAACAAGAGTGCTCGGTATTCACCAAGCAATCTCGATCATGGGTTGCTGCGGTTTTACTTGACGCCGCTGAGGAGCTATCGGAGGAGTGAATCGGGGAAGAGCAGGCCAGGCAACAACTCACAATCTCTGCCCAAGAATGTCTTGTAGTTGTATTTGTTATGTTGTAAAGCCGAATATAAATGCATTTTCTTCTTTTATGAGGAACACACACACTTCCCCCCTAACATGTTCTTACAATGCCAAAATTGCCAATAAGGCAATTTATCCTTGAAATCATTGGTTCACTCTAGTTCAATGAACGAGAAGCGGACGCGGATTAGGCATGTTGGTCAGAGCAGTGTGTTTGTGTTTGTCCCTTGTTTCTTTGCGAAGCGCTTTTGCTTGGTAGGGTTTTGTTAAAACAATAATGAGAATTCCATAAAATTATTCAAGGTCTTGTACATTTATCTCACAACAATTCTAGAGCAAGCACTCACAAAGTGCTTTTATCCAAAAGCAATGTGAACAGTAATCACTTTTACACACAAACGCCATAAACACATAGCCATGCAAAACTTCTACAAATTTCACTCAGCGTCAACGACGTAGCCCTTCTCTTGAAGCTCCGAAATGACCTCATTCTTCATCCTCACCCACAGCTTCTGAGCTTCCTGCTCCAGCTTCTTCTTCTGCAGCTCCTTCTGATAGTTAAACGCATCTTTGTCCGTCTCGACAAACCCTTTCGGGCCAATTGTTGTGCCGATCATTCCCCCCTTGGCAACAAACTCTTCCATGGCTTCCTCATCCCCAGGGTATGGGAACTCACGACGCTCATACAGGTGCGCTAGCTCTCTCTCTTCCTTGGGCCTAGGCTTCAGCGTCCACCACCCAAGTGGCGATTTCTCGTTGTAGAGCCAGGCCACGCCGAAGAGCGTGTATGTGCACACCAGTGCCTTGCCTATTTGCTTCCAGAAGTAGTAGTCTTCTTTGCCCAATCCCACTTTTTTCAAGTACTTCTCGGCATTGAACGATTTGGTCAATTGGTATCCTGAAATTAGCGCATTCAAAACGGAAGCAAGGGTTAGGGCATTTCACTGAGGCATTTGATCAAACACTTGGAGGGTTGTAAGAAAAATCGAAAGAGAAACACAAATTGCGGAAGCTGGAAGCTGCAACACATGAGGTTGATCAAACTATTACCTGCTTTAGCATCCTTATAGCGTTTGAGAACCATTTGCGATCGTTCAAATCGCTTAGTTTTCTGTAATCTTGCTCCGAGTCGAAACTAAATTTTCAGGGAGAATGACATGGTACACGTTAGATGAAGGGCCTCAAATGGCTTTTGTTTGAGGGTAAAGAGAGAATTGGGCTACGTCTTTAGTTATGACAACTGAGCCGGGTTTATATGACCCACCAACCAAGAAACCCAAAAATGAAAAAGAGCAAGCGGGGCTTAACGCATACGTCACATGTTTACTTACTTAGAACAAGTACTGGAATAATTCTATAATTCCTTATTCTACATGGCACATGTTAAATGACAGGCCTCAAATGACATTCATGCGTTTACTTACACATACAGAATATAAAAACCATGTGACTCCCACACTATAGTCAGTAATGCAATGCAATACCTAAAAAACTACGAATTAATTGATCTTATTCTCTATTCCTAACTTTTCCGATTGAGGGTTTCCCCTATTTCAAAACACAAATGTTTGGAGAGAATGGTTATCTTATAAACCGAAAAATCTACAATACTCCTAAATATTGGAGAAATTTTTCAGTGTGCTGAGAACACGACCTAGTATAAAAAGTATCATAATACAAGTCCAAGTCCAACCACTTGTATTTTGGTATACCAGGCTGTGTTCCAGCACACTAAAAAATCTCTCTAAAATTTGAATACATTCACTTAGAACTTTTAGATCTAATCCAACGAAAATCAAAGAAGATTGAATAGCCGTTGCCGGTGAACTGGATCAAAGGAGACTGAGTAGCCGTTGCCGACTGGCAAACTGTTTAATACTTCTAGTATTGTAGCCCTACTCCCTTATGCACAAAAGTGTAAAGATTGAATTGTAATTCACTCCATTTTTAACCATTCGTGCTTCATTGAAAGTTTAACATCTCATAAGAACACTCACGTTTAACAGAATTGCATACACAAGACAAACTATACACAAGTGATTGAAGACCAAAGTAAAACCTAAGAATCACCATAGTACAGAAACAGCTTCGTATGGTATCACTTCTTTTCGCGATCAATGCAGAGTCCCGACGGTCTTTTTATACGTGTACCACTTGGCAATGAAGAGGTATACTCCTAGGTTAAGAACACTCAGCACTGCCAATAGCCAGAAGAAATAATCAAGGTGTCCGTAGTTCAAATTGTTCGGTATCCATCCAGGGTTGCCGTTCTTTTTAGTCGTTTTGGTAACGATGGTGACAAGAATGGAGTTGAAGTAGTTTCCTAGTGCAACGGTGGAGAGTGAGAGAGCAGAACACAGGCTCCTCATGGCGTCTGGGGCTTGATCATAGAAAAACTCCAGCTGTCCTATGAATGTGAAAACTTCTGCAGCTCCTATGAGGAAATACTGAGGTACTTGCCAAAAGACTGACATGGGCATGTGGTCGCGTGTGTAATAGTTGTTCTGTCGAACACTTCGGAGTCTGATGAGTTCCAAAACTGCAGCACAGACCATGGAGAATATGGAGATGAAGAGGCCAATGCCCATCCTTTGGAGTGTAGTTAGGCCATTCTTGTGACCGGTGTATTTTCTAGCTGCTGGGACAATGATTCGATCGTATATTGGGACCCAAAAGATGACACTTAGGGTGTCAAAGATGGAAAGAGATGCTGCTGGGATTTCAAAGCTAGAGTGGCCAACACGAATATCCATGAGGGTGCCTTGCAACACAAAGAAGTTGCTCATCTGACTGTAGACTGCGGCAAAGATGATACCAGTGGCCCATATGGGAAGCAGCCTTATGATTGATTTTAGCTCCTCCACTTGGGTAACTGTACTGAGTCTCCACGGGCTTTTCGAGTCCTTTATCTGGTCACCTTGTACCACCACCGCCGCTTTGTCAAAGAACCTGAGCAGTAAAATTTCAGGTCAACAGAACAGCAACAACAACGAAAGTAAAACTACAAAACCACTATTCGTTCGCTCCAATGCTAGAGAAAAAAGAACTCTCAATCTTATAGTTTGATTGCTCAACTGAAGTGAGCCTTACTCCCATCTTAGCAAAATTAACTATTACAAGTAACGAAGATTTTTCAGTTGAAAAACTAACCTGAATTCATTTGTGTGATCAAGCTTGCGGCTTCCTTGGATGGAAGATTCTGCATCTGCAGTCTCATACAAAAGGGACTTGTCTTCCGGTACTTTCAACTTGTAATTTCTAATGGATGCCACAATCACCTGAATTATGCGTGTCAAAGGACTACCTCCAGGCTTCTGATTCCTATACAACCGAGTCCCCGAAAAGAAACTCAGCACAGCAATTGCCATTGCCACTGCTGGAACCCCAAAACCCCATTCCCAACCCACGTTTTCTTGTATCCACACCAGCACAGAACTAGCAATCATAGCACCAACATTGATGGAAAAATAGAACCAGTTGAAGAAAGAACCCTTGTGCTTCTTCTCAACCTCATCGTCATCATCAAACTGGTCTGCTCCATAGGACGAGACACACGGCTTAATCCCACCCGTGCCCAGCGCTATTAGGTAAAGCGCTATGAAAGTTGCTGCAGTTTGTCCACCATTTGCATGGCAAACATCTTTGCTAACACAGGTTGGTTTCATGCCTGGGACCGATGCTGACATTGTCAAAAGTGTCATCCCCTATGAAAATTATCACACAATCCATAAATTTCTATTGATGGAGAAGATAAAAACGCAACAAAACCAAACAACAACAACAACCAGGGTCATATGTTTGGAAAAATTAAGGTAAAGGGTACGGTTGGAACCCTGCAGCAAGCTATGATTTGACTTAAGGGGCCACTTGCAAATCTATTGGGATAAGCAAAATAGAAGTGTCGGCTTGATAATCATTTCATTTTTAGTTTTTAGTTTTCACTTGTATCTCTCGTTTCTCACGTATATTTTCCTTATATTTGTAACAAAAAATTCAATACGAAATAGTTATCAAACTGGCTAACAGACTTTTCCAAATTGAAATAAACTAAAGTAAGAATTTGAAGGCAGAAGAACATACAATGACATAAATGATTGAGAAAGAGGCAATAGTCTTGTATCTTCCCAAATAGGCATCAGCCAGAAAAGCTCCAAGCAATGGAGTAAGGTAGCAAGTTCCACTCCAATTCGAGTTATTTTTCGCAGCAGCAGCACTCGTCTGGTTCAATTGAGTCTTGAAATAAATCACCAGATTTGAGCTCATCCCATAATATGCCAACCTCTCACAGCATTCATTCCCTACTCACAAATCAAACCCAAAAACATCAATTAAAATAAAAATTAGCATAATTAAAAATAAAAATAAAAACCCAATATTTGATACAATTTCCAGTACTAAAGTTCATGGGATGCTAGTTAGAGATCTTCAAAAAGTACCTAGAATAAAAGGGCAGGCTTTCCAGGTTCCTGTTGCATTTCTCTTTGCTGGGTTTCCACGAAAATCCACAGTCCCATCTTTGGTATACACATCATTTTCTTCTGCTACTGCTGCCTTGGTGGGCAAATCATCTTCTGCCATGGCTTCTGGACTCTCTTTTGCTCTTGCCCTTTTGGGGTACACCCAAAATTCACAAAGAATCAAGCTGCAAACCCAGCAACTGCATTAAACAAAAGGGTTAATCTTTTTCATCAATTTTTTGTCCAAATTATAGTAGAACATTACATACCAGAGAAGCAAGGAGCAGGCTGGCAAAGATTCAGATGGATTTAATGAAGCCCTTTAAATGTAATTCTCTGTTATTGGCTAAAAGAGACGCTAAGGCAGTATAATGATGAGTACGGTGGTCCATTATATACGCTCCTATGGTGGAAAAGATTTTGCAAATGGCCAGTTGGTTGCATTGACTTGTCCCCAGAGGATGATGAGCAAATTCATCGGCTCATCAGTGCGGGTCCTACAGTGTGTGGACGTATATTTTGGATTTAAGGACAGATCCCTTGAACATAAAGCTGTGCCGTGGGGTTAGGGCGGAGATTCCAAGTTTTCGATAGCCGTTTGAAGTACAGTGTGTGAATAT